AGACGGCTGTTGGACGCCGCAGTCGTAGTATGGATGCGTAGTCGGTCTGATTTGCCGTCAGCCTCGGGTCTCGCACACTTTAAAAATCTCTGAGAAAGACAATGGCAACGACTTTTGCATCCGTGCCGATTATATTTGTACCACAGTAGTTCTGGCGCATTGTACGAGGCACTTTGAGGGCAAATGAAAAACGAAATGCAAGGAACGTCCAGAACTGGACACGAGTTGACTTAGAGACATTACCAGATTCGGTATCATGCATCGACCTACTAGCATGAAACTAAAAGCGCATGGTTGTTATCCATGCTCCATATTATGCATGTTTAGGGCTCTGACATGGGAAGACAGGACTCAGAGATCAAAGATGAGGATTTATTGCCGAAGGACCGGGCTACTCGGTACTTTAAAATTGTAGATAATAAAAACGGTCTTCACTGGAAGGCGGCTTTAGCGTAAGTTTATTGAATTTTAAAAACAAGTAGATGCAAAACAGCAGTAGTACGCGCAATAGCATGAAAAATCCACTAGATTTGCAAAGAGCAAGAAGAAAGTGTGGTAGTACGACATGACAATTGATGCTTACTGTCAGCCAAGACCTGGCTAGCAAAAAACACTTTTGCGATATCCCTATGAGCCTCTATTAGCATAGAAAATAAGTGTCGTAAACTCTGGTGCAGGAACTATCCTTAAAAAAGCGGCTGACGTTACAAAGTAATTTATTATAACTTACTTCCGGTCTAGGGCTGCTACCGTCCTCCGTCGTCGCAGAGTTGACCAGCCTTGTAAAACCTTGACTTTTATCAGTGCCTTCTATTTGTACGAAACAGCTAGTGGTATGACCAATTCCGGCTGGCAAAATCCGGCTTCCCAACATGGCATTTATTACTGTACTTTTCCCGTTCGAAGTTCTAAAATTAAGGTAAAGGGCAGGGTTTTGTAGTACGATTACGATAAATAAGGCAACATGCTCTAGAATGCCGCCAAACTAAGCAAAGGAGATGGGAGTTCATGCCGATTTGGTGAAAGGTACTTGTGTGAAAGGCGCTTTAAGGAAAAGCTCCTGTTTCTGTGGTCTGACAATTCACATTGACAGCATAACAAAAATGCACATTCTCTAAGCAAAGGGAGTATTTTATACCTGTAATTTGTGAGGCAGTGACTCTAATGTCAATAAACCAAGCCTTTAATTAGACAACAATTATAGTCGCCACTGGTGCATTAGTGACTGCAGTCATTTTTGGCCAAGTCCTACATATGTAGGACGTCTTAGAGTTATCTGCCTCACCTATGCTTGGCATATTATTTTATTCAGAAAGTTTTGATGTAGGATGGAGGCACGAAGCAAGCTTTCTTATAAAAGTCAGCTGACTTGTATGGTGTACATACCTGCCGAAAAAGGCGCACTTCATCTGGTTACGAGCGATAATTTCCTGAATTTGTTTAACCCTATCATAGTAGGGCTTAAGATCTTCTTCGGAACGCCTTCCCAGAGCTGGTGAAAGCCTTTTACCGGCATCTGCCGGTAACTTTTCTTCGAAAAATTTCTGACATTCTTTAACGTAACCCTCGATTTCCGAAAAGATGTTTTGCAATTCCTGTTTAGCTTCCTTGAACTTAATAAGATTCGAATGACTCTGGGTTCGAAGGAGAAGGTTTCTTGAACGAACTCCCGGATTACCAGCAATTAACTGATCGGCCATTGGGAGGCGAAAGACTGCCCTAGAGTTAGCACACTACACATGTACCAGTAACTGAGCCGACCAACCTGAGTACCAAAGCATGATCCCGTGATCTTTACGGTGTTCAAATTTATTCCGGGAAAACAATGTTTCAAAGTGTGATCGTTTGGAATTTGGAATTTATATTTGTAAGCATCAG